AGAGAGGCCGGCCGCCTGTTGTAGCAGTTTGGCCCAGAACTGCACGTTTGGTGGCGGCAAATGAGCCAATCAGAGTCGCCGACCTAGAAACCAAGCGCACGGATCAATTTGGGCAGTCAGTACTCCACTCGGTCCAGTGGCAGAAGCATAAAGTACTAGGCTTGTGGTCCATTGATACAAAAGGCCGAAAACGTGCTCCCCCCCCGGCAAGCAGTGTGTTGGCTCGGCGTTTGAGGGAGGTATGTGGCATTTTTCTACCTTGGTATAGTACAGAAATGTAAAGTGATTTAAGTCCTTATTCAACCCGTCCTCGACTCAAGTCTATTACATCCAGCGGTTGACCCCACAGACGCATTCATAAATTTTAACATGCTGTTCATTCAAAACAGGAACTTTATCAAATATAAATTATTATAATAGCATATTATGCATATATAGGCATAGGTTAGGTGTTTAGGTTCTGCTGGCGATTATTTGTATTTGTAGTACGTGGGTGAAGCATTTATAACGTTGTGATTCGAACAAAATTAGTCAGTGAAGCACTTGTTCCGGATATGTTCCAACGAAATCAGTTGAGTCGTGTAAACCGATTTTCTTTCATAAACAGGAGATTTGGTGGGTGCATGGAATCACTTTTGGGTCTTCGTTTGGAAGACGGGCTGCTTTATTGGGACTGACTGGTGACTGCAGTGGATTGACATGTATGTATATTGTACATAAAACTGAAAATATTTATTTACATTTTAGAGAATACAGACGAGGTATTGTCTTCATTTTTACCCCAAGACTTGCAGATCTTGATAGTCGTGGCCCAACCTGAATGTGTGGGGCACATGACGGAAGGGGCCTGGCTTGGGGAATTTACTGGGCGGGGCAACAGTAAAATGTGTACTTGGGGGGGGGGGGGGTGGAGAACTGTTCCTGACCAGTACATGTGACATAAGAGAACTCGGTAGGTTTTCAGCGCTATTCCTTCCAGTACCCATGTTGGGGCTGCGCCACAGCAGGGTGGTTATATCCCAAGTCTCCAATCACATTTTTAAAGATTTTCGTAAAAAGAACACAACATTAAGAGTCGAGGCCTTGAGACAGCCACTGAGCACATTTAAAACCAAATTCTATGGTTCCTTTTAATTTTAAGATTGCCGGTTTTCGTTCACAAATATGTGCCTCGTGGAGGCATCTCCTATTGCAACGAGCCCTTCATATTGCAGCGAATTTAGATTGGTCCCATATTGTTCATTTAATTCGGGTTGCACTGTACAAGTCTGTGGACCACTTCAAACAGCCTTTTAGATCAAAGTATAAGACGATCCTCCCTCAGGCTGGTGTTTAAGAGTAGAAAAGATCTGGAAATTTACCTGTAATCGGTTACAAGTACTGTACATTAGGTATGAGATATTTTCCCACATATAACTCCAAACAAACAATGCACACACAGGGCATCAACCAGGTTTAACCCTGTAATTCAAAGTATATTGGAAAAAAAGGCCTTTCATACAAGACCAGAGTGAATTTGAAAGTCAAGGCCTTTAGCCTAGAGCTCACATCCGCAGGTACTGCCTCTGCTAGTTCAGCATCAGACTAGAGCCAGGAATCTTAACCTAGGCTACTCTTAGCATGGTAACAGCCATCCCCAAAGACACAATAGTCACGCTGCACATGTAGTACCCACCAAAGGCAGTGAGTGGTGTGCTGCAGTGATTGATGTACAGTGCAATTAAAATAGGATGTGAGCCACAGTGACAGTTTTCTATCTTTAACAGTGGGGCGACTGATAGATGAAAGGATGAGCGGTCAATGTTGACGAGGAAGGTATGATACGAGCGGACCTGCAGATTAATTCAACAGAGAAGAATTAAATGCCAGTCAAAGCATAGATATCCAATGGACTTGGTAAGTATGGTCCTACTTTTTCATCAGAGGGAGCAAACACATTGGAGAAAGCCAACTGATTGAAGGCAAAGTTCTCAATCGGGGTATTTTCCCTGTAGTATTGATAGTAAGCCTCATTTGTCTAGGAATTGCAAATTTACTTAATGCAATCACTAGTTTCGTTGCACGTGTGTTATTGTTTGAATTTTCCGTTTCTCAGGTTGGCCTTATGTGAGCCAGATTCTGGCTCTTGCAGTAGATTATGAATGAGTCTTAAGAGGCCTGGTGCATTGCGGTAAGTTTGTGAATAGATGTGAATAGCTGTGTAACCATTTAAGGTGTGTACTGTTGTTGGTTAAAGTGTTCATTTAGTCGTATTTCAGTTACGTTGATAGAGGAAAGCTTTTCATCTTTTGCTTCTAGTAATGCATATATATTGGAAATAATTTACACATTTAGCACTTTCATACTAAATATTAAATTGCTATGAAGTTTGTTTTCTGCTTAAAATAATAGAATTAAAATTAAATACCCGGCAGTATACCTTGAGGGCTGACGCAATTCTCTGCTGGGTCAGGTCAGCTCCCCGATGTTCTATTATGTCTCGTTATTAAACTAAAAGGAGGAGATAAAATCTAATACTGTATAGATACATAGTTAATAATATTAACTTAATTAGAATTTAGCGACCACTTCTAAATTATTAACCCTCGCACTGACTAAGAGTTCGGAAAGTGGGAGGGGGGGAGGGTTTGGATATTTCCATATCCATTATGGATATCAACACGGCCCACGTTGGTGACATAACATTTTGACGTTGTCAAAATCCTTGCATTAGTTGCCTGAAGGTCCAATAGCCTCGTTTGAGGTAACTACACTGTTTGTCTCACATTTAATATCATTAAGGCAATTTCTTGTGTATACAAGGTATTTGGAGTGATCGTGGTCACCTGTAGGACATCACCATAATCAAGTGAAAATAATTACTTCAAATTGAAGTTAAAAAGTGATGAAACACGGATTCTTTAATTACATAAATTGTGAATTTTCCCACTCTAATAATTCGATTATCGGCAGGAAAGGAAGCATCAACATTGGCGGCCTCTTGTCTGACTCGTATATTCCCCATGAAGCTCTCTCATCCATGGACGATGTTAGTTGAAGCTTACTCTGGTCTATGGACTTTCTTAGGTAAGAATTTTGTTTATTGCTAACTCTAATTCTCAGTGCAGTAAATAAAATAAATTCATTAATCTGAAATAAACCTTGAGTAACAGAACTAATGCTTTAAATCAAATAATAAATACGGCACCATCTGAATTCAAATAATTAATAAGTAACACCCCACTGTGGTAACTGTGTAGAGTAACCTTTTTTTGTACAGTCCGCTAGAAATTAAAATTAAATAGTTAAGTTATCCACATCCTAGCATATAGAGCGCCTCATAAAAATGACCAATAGTGGGTCAGGTTACAGTCAGAAGAGTTCCACATTACTTTAATTGATTTTTCTAAATAACAGATTTTTACTGGTTATTTTGTAGGAGTTAGGGTAAGAAAACAGGTAGTTTACAAATGGTTCAAAGATGATAAATATATTCATATTTAAATGTTAAGACCAAATTCGTTTTATTTCTTTTATAGTAATTTGCTATTCAAACCTTTATTTTGAATGCATTACTTTTGTATGAATGTCGAATTGGAAAGTTACAAAAAACTAGAATTTATGTTTTTCCAATATAAAGAGCTGTTTTGGGGAGATGTATATAATGTTTTGTACTATTATACCCCCCCCCCCTTCCTTTCTGGCTCGTTGTCGCCGTGAGAAGGCTTGGGGGGCGGCTGCCAGAGTGTGATGCTTCACGAGTCAAGTCCTCTGTCCTTTTGATGCCATATACTTCTGCTGCTGCCTTCACCAATTGTGCCAGAAATCTTTTCCTTTTCCTAATTTCATTTTCCTCCTTCCCCCCCCCCCCTCTTTCCTTTCTAATTGTCATTTCCTGCCGACCTTTTGCCAGTTTTTGATTATTCTACCAGGTTTCTTCTGTTTTGATTCCCGAGTGTTTGGGGAGGCATAATCTCTTGCCCGTAGAACCCAACGTCTCAAGTGAGGGGACCCTTTTGCTGTCAATCCTCATTTCGTTGCTGAACCCGGTTGCTGAACCAGATTGACGGACTGATGGTTCTTAAGGTGGCGTTTGTGGGGCGTATTCTCACGATGCATCCCTAGAGGGCCCCGGCATGATCGGCAACATGTCTCTTGTTGGGTGTCCTGCCTCTAATTGTGGCTCTATGGTGGGTACGGGTGCACATTCGTGAATGAAAGTATAACCTCTCGTTTTCATTTTGCTGAATAGTGTTCCTCTGACTTCTTAGGCTCGTGGGGTAGACGACCAAGCCTCCGAGTCGGACTGTGTTGGAAGACCGGGCTCTGTAGCCCCCCCCCCCCCCCTCCCTGCTACATTGGGTTCAGACCTAGCTCCTCCTTTGACCCTCCTGACTACTCTCCTCCTCTCCCCTCCCTCCTCTGTGGTTGGGTCGAGCCATACGCCCCCAACGATGACAACCTGGCGTGGTTCTCTCTCCTTGTGCCTAGTACACCTTTTTAACGATCCCTTCCCATACTAATAAGTACAAAGCCTTGTTTGGTCCTGCTTCATGGGCTAAATACTTAGAACTCCTCTCTCTGGATTCTACACCTGACGATTTCTCACTCCATAAACACCTTATCGATTCGTTGGATGCCTGTTACTTTTAATTCCACCCGTTTAACTACACAAGTCGTCGCTGCTCCTTCACCGGATGCAGCTACCTGCTTAGCCGTATTGTCTTGCATTGGGGAGACCCCTGTTCGGATCTCCAAAAACGCTTGATTAAATGTCATTGTTGGCACTGTTCTCCTCCCGCACCATGTTGCAACTGGTGTTAGGGGCCTAAAAGGCTGCCATGAAGATATTAAACATATCCCCAAAGCCCAAGGCCATCCTGTCCTCCAGGTAGACACGTTCACTCGACCCCCTTGTGGTCGTCGCCGTCAGCCCCTTAGAGTTGTGAAAATCACATTTGATAGTAGGACCCTTCCGCCCTCTATAATTCTTGCTGGTGCCAGATGCTTCGTTCAGGAGTACATTCCCTCTCCTAGATTTTGCAATAAATGCTGGAAGTTCGGGCATGGTGTCCTCAAATGCTCAAGTACTGTGTATCTGTCCCATCTGTGGGGCCGATGATCACTCTAAAAGTCCGAGTTCACTTCTCCCCAGGTTCGCTGTCTCAATTGCAGTGAGGCCCACCCTACCTTCTCTGCTCGTGTATACACTACAAACTTGAGGAAGCCGTCCTCAACTTGAAACACCGGGAGCGTCAGCCTTTTCCTGAAGCAAGATGCCAAGTTCACCATCTCGCCCCTTTTGCTATCATATCCTACGCTCGTGTTGCGTTCTACCTCACCTCATCATTCCCACCATACTCGGTCTCTCAACAGTTTCCAGATCTTAGACCCGAACACGCCCACCACCACCTCCCCTGTTCCTTTACGTTCTGTCCCGAAGGGACCCCCTCCTGGTTCTCCATCTGAAGTTCCCCCCTTCCTACCCAGTCTGCCATGTCTCCTGTGTTTTCTTTCCCCAATCCTTCTTCCCATCTTTCCCTGTCTCTTGGCCCTCCACGCCGCCTGTTTGTCCAGGCTGATGTCCATCATCCTAACAGCAATCTTCATGATGTTCACTCCCGTTCATCATCTCTTGTTGAGACAATTGAGTCTGTCGCCCAGTACGTTGTTGCTTGAACACCTGTCTCTTTTGAGTCAGAAACGTAAGCCTGGCTCCTCTCCTTCCTCCTCCCCGGCAGGTACGAAGGCTTCGCTTTCTTCCTCACCCGCCACCTCTGACACACTCGCTGCGTCCCCCTTCCATTTCGGTGGTCGGGCCCCCTGTCCAAGCTATGGAGGTTTCTTTAGCCCCCGTTTCCTTTTTCGTTGCTGCCCTTGCTGAGGTGCGCTCCCGGTTTCTGCTCCCCCCCTCCTGCTGTCCTTGACCTCCCCTCTCTGTTCAACCCATTCTCGCACTTTCGTACAGTCAATATTGACTGTACAAAAGTGCGAGAACGGATTGCTCTGTTGTCTCCTCCGGACCCTACCCATCCGCCTCTGGTCTGTCCACCTGCTCCCTTCACTCCATCCTTACTCAGTTTACCCATGCCTCCTAAGCTTGATTTTACTAACCCTGATCCTAAGCTTATTGAATATACTGTTCTTCTTTACCTTTGTTTCTTTATTGTTCTCTGTTGTTGTCCTTTCTCTTTTTGATAATGTCTTCTTCAATGGAATATTAGTGAATTTTATGCCAACTTCCATGAACTCAAACTTCAGATTACACAGTTTTCACCACTTTGTGTTTGTCTCCAGGAACCAAAGCTTTTTGCTCGTCCTGGTCTCTTTCGGGGTTATTCCTCTTTTTTTTTTTCCTACCCCCCCCCCCTCCCAGCTCATGCTGGGGCCCATAACTTCTCTTGATTCGTACTGTTATTCCCTTCGTCCCCCTACTGTTTCCATCTCCTATCCATTGTTCTGCTGCCCGTGTTTTTGTGAGTAAATAGTATACAGTCTGTTCCATTTACCTCCCCCCAAATGTCCCGCTTTCTCTTCCTGATCATAAGCACCTCCTTGACTCCTTGCCAGTGCTCCTGTTGGGTGATTTCAACTGTCGGCATACCCTCTGGGGTGATGTTCTAACAAACACCTGAGGCTGCCTTTTTGAACCGTTCTTCCTCTATTCTTCCCCGTCTCTTCTGAATTCTGGTGAGTCCTCCCATGTGGACTCTCGAACTTGCACCCTTTCCTGTCTTGATCTTTCTCTCTGCTCGTCGTCCTTTTGCTTAGATCTCACGTGGAGGGTTCTTGATGACCTCCATAAGTGACCATTTCCCCATCCTTATTTCCTTTTCTCTTTTCACCTTCCCCTCTCCTTCCCTAGGTGGCAGTTTGCCAAAGCTGATTGGAACCTATTCACTCTGTGCTACTCTCACTAACCTCTCCTCTCTGCCTCTTCCTCGCGCCCTCCTCCTTTTTCATGACACCATCTTAGATGCTGCCCTCTGCTCTATTCTTCACTCTACCTCCCGGGGCACGCGGAAGTGCATTCCCTGGTGGAATGCGGACTGTGTTCGGGCTGTCGCAGCGTGGAAGAAACACCGACGTCGACAGACGGCCGATTCTTTTATTTTGTTTTGGAAAGCAAGTGCGGTGGCCTGTAGGGACCATTCATACAGCTAAGCGTGGAAGTTGGAAATCTTACGTTTCCACCATTGTCAGATATTCCTCTACCACAAATCTGGAAGAAGATCGGCAAAATTGCGGGCAAGTTCGTTCCAGATATCTCGCCAGTTCTTCACCTCCGAGGTACTCTTGTGGTGGACCCAGTGCAGGTCGCAACCAAACTGGGTTCCCACTTTTCTTCTGTTAGTTCTGGTTCTCATCTTCCTCAATCCTTCCTTCGTAAGCCTGTTCTTGAATCTCATCTCTTAGATTTCCGCACTCGTCTCCGCCTTCCCTATAACGAATCCTTCTCTCTCTCAACTTCAGTCTGCTCTGGCCCTTTGCGGTTTTATGGCAGCGGGCTCGGAAGACATTGAGATGCTTCGCTATCTCCCTCATTGCACGTCTCGGTAGTTACTGAGTCTGTATAACCAGGTCTGGGAGTTGTCGTCAGTCCCCGAGGACTAGCTCGATGCCACTGTACTATCTATTAGGAAACCGGGGAGGTCTCGGGACATCCTTAAGGACTTTGACTTGGTGAACTTGGAGGTCTATATTCGTACTGATTTTACTGCGAAGACCTCCGTTGTTGCTGTCCTTTATGACCTGGAAAAAATCTTGACACAACCTGGAGATACCATATTCTGTCCCAACTTCGTTCTTTCGTTCTTTTGGCCTTCGTAGTAATCTTCCTCTTTTTCCAAAGCTTCCTCTCTCGTCATTCCTTTAGTGAGGCTTGGTACCACTCTCTCTGCCTCTTTTCGGCAATACGAGAGTGTACCCAAAGGTAGTGTTCTGATCACTACTCTTTTTCTGGTTGCCCTCAATAGTCTTCTTTCCTCCCTTACTTCTGGCATTTTCTCCGCTCTTTATGTCGACTATCTTACTCTTTGCTGTCGTGGTGATGATTCTCCTCTCCTTCAACGGCAACTTCAACTTACGATTGATCTCGTGTCGTCTTGGGCCACCAATCATGGCTTAAAGTTCTCTGCAAATAAGACTTGTGCTATGACTTAATCGAAAGCATGTCGTCCTTCGTCCTTCTTTGTCACTTCATGGTCATCCCCTTGTGTACAAAGATTCTGCGAAGCTTTAGGGGTTAATTTTTGACACTCGTTTGTCTTGGTCGCCCCATATCTCTTACCTCAGAGTTGAATGCTCTAGGGCTCTTAACCTACTTAAGGTTTTGTCCCATACTTCTTGGGGAGCAGATAGGCGCACGCTCCTCTATTTGCACTCCTCTCTCGTCCTGTCTAAACTCGAATATGGTGCCCCTGCATACTCTTCACCGTCTTGATCCTTTGCACCATACTGGGATGCGCCTCAGCTTTGGTGCCTTTCGTTCAACTCCTACCTTCAGCTTGTACGCTGACACTGGCTTCTTATCTCTCCAGGACCGCTGTGATCGCTACTGTCTTCGTTATCTTGCATGGTCCTTTCAGTATACTCACTCTCGCCTCTGTCGTGCTTTGATTTTTACCCATCCTGTAGTTCCTGTTCCTCTTCACCACCTTCCTCTTTCTGTCCGTTTGTCTCGCTTACAAGATTCTCTTTTGATTCGTATTACCAATGTTTCTCCTCATATTGTCCCGTCCATGCCCCTGTGGAGGGTCCCCCTTTCCAAATTTTGTACTTCCCTGACCCTCATCACTAAAGCTTTTACCCCTCCTACAGTTCTGAAACGCCTTTTCCTTAAGCACTTTTCTTCACACTCACTCCGTTTCCATCTTCACCGATGGCTCTAAGTCTCTTGACGGTGTAGGCTGCTACTGTTTTTCCTGACCACTCTTATGTGTGTCGCCTTCCTCCGGAGGCTAGCATCTTCACAGCAGAACTTTATGCTATTCTCTATGCTCTTCGTCTCCTGCTTTCTCCTTGTCAATCCTCCTTTGGGGTGGTAGTTGACTCTCGTAGTGCCCTCATGGCTTTAGGGTCACTTTAATCCGGTCCATGCAGTGGTCATAGATTCAACATTGGCTGTTTATTCCCAGTAAATTTAAGTCGGTAGAGTTTTGCTGGGTTCCCAGCCATGTTGTTGTTTCATTAAATGAGCGTGCATGCTGCCACTATGGAAGCTATCCGCACTTGTCCCATCTCCCGTAAAGGTATTCCTTATTCCAGCTTTTACCCAGTCATTCATTCCACCATCCTTGCCTGTTGGCAGGGTTGTTGGTCTTCTGTTACTGGTAACAAACTGCGTACTCTTAGTCATGTCTCTGTGGCCTTCCTCCTACTACCGTAACCGGCAGTGGGAAACGGCTCTGGCTAGGTTACGTATTGGCCATACAAGTTTAACTCACGGTCACTTAATGGAGCACCGCCCTGCTCTTTATTGTCCATATTGCATTGTTCCTCTTACGGTCGTTGCACATTCTTGTTGAATGTCCTGACTTCCAGGACGAGCGTGTGTATCTTGCTTTCCAACCGTCCCTCGCGGTAAATTGTCCATCCATAGAATTTTTGGTGAATCGGTTACTTTTGATATCATTGGCCTTGTGCGTTTCTGTTCTCGTATTGGCATCCTTGGTGATATTTAGCACCCTCTTATTACTCCGCACGTTTGGTGGTGCTACATAGCCTTCTCGGTTTGGTGCCTTCTTTTGATACTTACTTGTACTATTATATTCCAGAATAATTGGCATATATTTGTTTTAGCAGGCTGTATTAAGTATATATGACTTACTGGATGTGGTTTATTATTTGAGTTCTTTTAAAATTATTTATTTAAATATATTCTAATTGAATATAAAGTTGCAAGAGAGGTTGTTAAAATTTCTTTGGTATATATATTGACAGGTCTAGTCTGATGACGTACTATGTTACTTTTAGCTCTGGTATGATGTTAGATTATATTAATTATAATTGCTAAAATAAATAAAATACTGTATTGATATGTTTGCATGTAAATTATATTGGAGTAAAAAATTTTTTTTACTTCAGTTTCTTTCTAGGTTCGAAGATGATTTGTTCACTATCACCAGTTTGTAATTAGGAGTGTACTAAACATCCCAATGGCTCCAAATTTGATAGTGTGATCATTGGAACTTAAAGATAAACTACATGAAATAGTAAAACTTTAAAATGAATATATGTACTACTGAAGGTACTGACTAGTGTTATGGCAAGCAGGATGTGTTAATGGGCACAGTTAAGTTCAAAATTGTGATTAATCTTTTGTGTTAAACCATTGCAGAAGGAAACGAGGCCGACGACAGTTGTTTGGCCCAGAACTGCACGTTTGGTGGCGGGAAGTGAGAGCCAATCAGTCGCCGACCGAGACAAGAGCACGAATAAATGTGGACAGTCTGTGCTCAGTCCAGCGACAGAAACAGTGCTCGGCTCGCTGTGCACAGACAAGTGCTTCGCTCAGTCCAGGGACATAAACATAAATACGATCACCACAGCAAGCTGTGTATTAGTTCGGCGTTTGGAAGAGTCGCCTGAGGGAGACGCGTGGAATTTGTCGACCTTGCATTGGAAGACGACTTAAAATTCATTACGTGGGCAACAGCGCTGGATGGTGCAGAAATATAGTGATTCAGTCTCTATTGGTGCGATATGATACTGACTGGTGACGGCAGTGGATTGACATCTGCACACACTATACATAAAACTAAATATATATATAATTTTTGTTAAAGAATATAGTTAAGGTAGTTTGTCTTGGTAATCATTTCCCCCGAAGATTTGAGGAAATTTATCAAGTGAATTAATGTATAATGACTTATAGTAAATATATAACTTTGGAAATAGAACATTTTCTGTATTTAACTGACATTGTAATTATAAGGTGTGAAGGATAGATGAAATTGTTAATGTAATGTCCATTGAGGTTTGTTGAAGACCTGTTGTGCCCTCTGTAATCCTTTTTGCGCTACCGCTCACAGGATGAGCATGGGGTGCACAATAAACTAGCGTCCTCCGGCGGCAACAATGCTGGCCCATCCTGACTGTGTTTACCTGACGAGAACTGTTCCTGACCAGTACACACGAGACCTCGTAGGTTTTAAATAGTATAATTACCATGTAGACAAATGTTGGAGATTTAAGTGGTTATATACCAATAAAAGTAAATATTCTTACAAACTTTGGAATTTGTGGAATGATAGTCACATACAACCTATGGGCTCCAGAAATTTTGCCCAATATTCCAGTGTATAAACTAGTCAGTTTAAACGTACCTATTATGTTTAATAGGCACTTTACGTTTAATACATAGGTAGTACCTTCATGAACTATTTTTTCCTCAACATTAGCCATTTCGATAAAACCATCAGAACATCTCAAACACATTTATTCTTCATATCCTGTAGATATTCTTCATATAATGAACTACTGTTTCCCCGACCTCGCTACTAATAGGCATGGTAGGGGATAGTTCCAAGAGTTTTAAAGTATTTTTTTTTTGTTGCAGGTTGCGGCATTGAGGAAATAGCTGGTGATTTGTCGATTCGTCATCATTCATAAAGTGACGTAAGAAGTCAATCGGCGATGAAGATGGTCCAATTTTTCTTGGCAGAAATTGTTCAGTGTGAAAAATTTAGATAGCGAAGCTTAATTAGTTGAATGGTACTTGTAAATAAATCTTGTATGAGGACCAACATCTTGCTACTAATAAAGGAAATACCTGGTACATGTAATTAAAGTATTAGATGTATTGTCTAAAATCAGAGTTAGCGTTTTCACTTTACGTACATGTAAAAAGTATTTATTTTGCCCTATATTAACTTTCTTGCCATGGTGACTTTTGATAATACTTTATTTACCCTGCAAAGGTCAATATTTAAATGTCTCAAGTGTTAAATTACTAAAATCTGTAATGTTTTAAGTATGGTAGGCAGTGTAAACAGTGGTTGTTACCAGTAATTATAATTCAATTCTGGGGCCCCTCTAATATTTGAGAGGGCTCCTTGGTGCTGCGTATTGGAAAGGGCTCGTATTACCATTCTTGGTGATATTTAGCGCCCTCTGATTCTCCCGCACATTTGATGGTGCTACATAGCCTTCCCGGTTTGGTGCCTTCTTTTGATAATTACTTACTTGATAATTACCTTACCTTCAGGTAGTACATTGACCTACATACAAGTAGGCAACATATACCTACCTACATTAATAGTAGGTACAACAGAAAAGTTACCTACTATTGGTGGCAACACTTGGCTTGCAATGCCAAGTGTTGTAACGCCTAGCTTGTAAGTGGGAGCTAAGTTTCAGGTCTGTGTCCGTCCTATTTCCGTTTCCCCCCCCCCCCTGTTACCTTGACCCCCTCCTTGTTGCCCCATGAATCTTCCCATTGTGATAATAAAGAGGTACACGAACAAATTTGTATTGAAATCCCACAAATGAAGTTTTCATAGGGACGAGTAACAAAGTATCTATTTGAATAGGCAGAAATGACCTATTTAAATATGAAAATGTGCAAATTTGCAATAACAGCCCAACAAATGTGGCAGAATTTTCAAAACAGAAAAAGTACCTATTTGAATAGGTCGGACCTATTTGAATAGGTAGATTTGGTGTATGAGCAAATTTGCAACAGTCCAACAAATGTGGAAGAATTTTCAAAACAGAAAAAGTACCTATTTGAATAGGTCGGACCTATTTGAATAGGTAGATTTGGTATATGGGCAAATTTGCAACAGTCCAACAAATGTGGAAGAATTTTCAAAACAGAAAAAGTACCTATTTGAATAGGTCGGACCTATTTGAATAGGTAGGACCTATTTGAATAGGTAGATTTGGTGTATAAGCAAATTTGCAAGTCCAACAAATGTGGAAGAATTTTCAAAACAGAAAAAGTACCTATTTGAATAGGTAGGACCTATTTGAATAGGTAGGACCTATTTGAATAGGTAGGACCTATTTGAATAGGTAGATTTGGTGTATAAGCAAATTTGCAAGTCCAACAAATGTGGAAGAATTTTCAAAACAGAAAAAGTACCTATTTGAATAGGTCGGACCTATTTGAATAGGTAGGACCTATTTGAATAGGTAGATTTGGTATATGGGCAAATTTGCAACAGTCCAACAAATGTGTAAGAATTTTCAAAACAGAAAAAGTACCTATTTGAATAGGTCGGACCTATTTGAATAGGTAGGACCTATTTGAATAGGTAGGACCTATTTGAATAGGTAGGACCTATTTGAATAGGTAGATTTGGTGTATGAGCAAATTTGCAACAGTCCAACAAATGTGGAAGAATTTTCAAAACAGAAAAAGTACCTATTTGAATAGGTCGGACCTATTTGAATAGGTAGGACCTATTTGAATAGGTAGATTTGGTGTATAAGCAAATTTGCAAGTCCAACAAATGTGGAAGAATTTTCAAAACAGAAAAAGTACCTATTTGAATAGGTCGGACCTATTTGAATAGGTAGGACCTATTTGAATAGGTAGATTTGGTGTATAAGCAAATTTGCAAGTCCAATAAATGTGGAAGAATTTTCAAAACAGAAAAAGTACCTATTTGAATAGGTCGGACCTATTTGAATAGGTAGGACCTATTTGAATAGGTAGATTTGGTGTATGAGCAAATTTGCAACAGTCCAACAAATGTGGAAGAATTTTCAAAACAGAAAAAAAAGTCGGACCTATTTGAATAGGTCGGACCTATTTGAATAGGTCGGACCTATTTGAATAGGTAGGACCTATTTGAATAGGTAGGACCTATTTGAATAGGTAGATTTGGTATATGGGCAAATTTGCAACAGTCCAACAAATGTGGAAGAATTTTCAAAACAGAAAAAGTACCTATTTGAATAGGTAGGACCTATTTGAATAGGTAGATTTGGTATATGGGCAAATTTGCAACAGTCCAACAAATGTGTAAGAATTTTCAAAACAGAAAAAGTACCTATTTGAATAGGTAGGACCTATTTGAATAGGTAGGACCTATTTGAATAGGTAGATTTGGTGTATAAGCAAATTTGCAAGTCCAACAAATGTGGAAGAATTTTCAAAACAGAAAAAGTACCTATTTGAATAGGTCGGACCTATTTGAATAGGTAGGACCTATTTGAATAGGTAGATTTGGTATATGGGCAAATTTGCAACAGTCCAACAAATGTGTAAGAATTTTCAAAACAGAAAAAGTGCCTATTTGAATAGGTCGGACCTATTTGAATAGGTAGGACCTATTTGAATAGGAAGATTTAGTGTATGAGCAAATTTGCAACAGTCCAACAAATGTGGAAGAATTTTCAAAACAGAAAGTGCCTATTTGAATAGGTAGGACCTATTTGAATAGGTAGGACCCATTTGAATAGGTAGATTTGGTATATGGGCAAATTTGCAACAGTCCAACAAATGTGTATGAATTTTCAAAACAGAAAAAGTACCTATTTGAATAGGTAGGACCTATTTGAATAGGTAGATTTGGTATATGGGCAAATTTGCAACAGAGTACCTATTTGAATAGGTAGGACCTATTTGAATAGGTAGATTTGGTATATGAGCAAATTTGCAACAGTCCAACAAATGTGGAAGAATTTTCAAAACAGAAAGTGCCTATTTGAATAGGTAGGACCTATTTGAATAGGTAGGACCTATTTGAATAGGTAGATTTGGTATATGGGCAAATTTGCAACAGTCCAACAAATGTGTAAGAATTTTCAAAACAGAAAAAGTACCTATTTGAATAGGTAGGACCTATTTGAATAGGTAGGACCTATTTGAATAGGTAGCACCTATTTGAATAGGTAGATTTGGTGTATGAGCAAATTTGCAACAGTCCAACAAATGTGTAAGAATTTTCAAAACAGAAAAAGTGCCTATTTGAATAGGTAGGACCTATTTGAATAGGTAGATTTGGTATAGGGGCAAATTTACAACAGTCCAACAAATGTGGAAGAATTTTCAAAACAGAAAAAAGTGCCTATTTGAATAGGTAGATTTGGTGTATGGGCAAATTTGCAATAAGTTCATATAATGTGGAAGAATCTTCAAAATAGAAAAAGTACCTATTTGAATAGGTAGAAATGACCTATTTGAATAGGTGTATGTGCAATTTTGCAATAACAGCCCAACAAATGTGGAATTTTCGAAATAAAAATTTCCTATATGAATAGGCAGGACCTATTTAAATAGGTAGATTAGGTATATGGACAAATTTGCAATAACAGCCCAACGTGAAAGAATTTTCATAATAGAAGAATTACCTATTTGAATTGGTAGGCCTTATTTGAATAGGTAGAATAGGCATAGGTGCAAATTTGCAAAACCAATCCAACAAATGTTGAAGATTATTGATCTTCCACAATTAGATTATTAGTAAATTAAAAAGTACCTATATGAATAGGTAGAAAGTACTTATTTATGTAGGAATATTATACCTATTCATATATGTACATATAAAAATATGTACATAGGTATTCAACCTATTTCAATTGGTATTTTTACATATGCAAACTAGTTACCGTCTATATCTGTGGGAAACTAATTATCTATAACTAATTTGTACATATACCTATTACATATAATAAAGTAATTTCTACATATTCAAATAGGTACTTTCACTATTTTGAAAATTGTCTTCCACATTTATTGTACTATTATTGCGTATTTGTACATTCTTAAATAGTTACTACCTATGAAAGGCATACCTTTTATAGGTATACTTTTTAAATACGTATAATATCTACCTATAATATATATTATAGGCAGATAATATTTTATTATTAACTACCTAAATAAGTAGAATGTTCTACCTATTATAAGTAGACTAGGTACATGCAAAAAAATTATTAAATTCCAAAAAATGTAAGACAGTATCTAATTTTTTTAAGAATTTGTAGAAAGCTAAATATATGAAGACACAAAAGACACATGTCAGTAACTAGTGTGTAATAAGATTAGGTAAAAAGATACCTAATCGAATAGGTTGAAAATGACCCATTTGAATAGGTAAAAGTATACTTATCTGAATATATAGAATAGTACCTAATTTTTAATAAGTAGAAAAGGTGCATGTAGAGGACTAACAAGTTTATTCTAATAGGTAGAAAAGTACACCCGGATAGAAAGGTACCTATCTGGATACAAAGGTACCTATCTAAATAGAAAGGTACCTATTTCAATAGGTAGGAAGGTAAGGGAAAAGCACCAAACCATTACGACTGCTTAGCACTGGAATTTAGGGTAGGAATGTTGGGGGGAGAAGGAATGGTGCCCAACCACTTGGACGGTCGGAGATTGAACGCCGACCTGCACTGCATGAAGCAAGATCGTCGCTCTACCGTCCAACCCAAGTGGTTGAACGTGAATAGGTAGGAAAGCATCTATTCGAAAGGGTCTATAATGCCTGAAAGGGTTTTAGAGAACCTGGCACTGTTGGCAACTATTCCAGTGCCTATATAATGGATCTTCCTCCCAACAGAAAAAATCTTGCACTCACACCATTGCTATTGTCACGACCCTTGAGACTAAATAATGTTCTTCTCCCCACAGTGTAAAGAACAAATAAAAATCTGCCATGCCAATAGGTGTCTAGGGGTATAATTAATCAGTGTATAAAAACGGGAGAACAATATATTTTGCTAAGGGTGACAACTTAACAACAATTAAATAAATAGTATCTAGAAATATTTATCAGCATGTAATACTATAGAATGCAAGTAATTATTTGAGACCTGAGCACTATCACCAGAATATGGAGCAAGTCAAATACACCAAAATCGTCTATCCAGATGAATTAATATTTATATGGGCTTAAAATAACAAAAACCAAGAACTTAGCTTAAACACAACTGCACTCGACCGCAGCCGCCACTCTACTGCCCAGGACGTGGTCCGCAGGCCCAACGTCGACTAACCGTCTACCCAAACACCAATTAACGTTCGCATGAACATTGTGAACATTCTATTTACAAAGGTCAGCCCTAAACTCCAACATTATTAACTAAGAGTTGTAATTACTAGTCTCACATTCCTTGAAATATTATGGCTACCAAATATGGGAATAAATAAATATAAAACTATAGGCAATTGATATGCTAACAATCGCCCTGGCCATTCCCAAATATTGTCAACCGCCCACACGGCTAATTTCACGTGACATCCACCACCAAAACAACCTTACACACACTACCCAGCTATCTATGTTATATATATATAATGTATATATATCTATATACACAAATCTTATACAACTGACAGCAATATTTACTTAGAGAAAACAATAATATAATACGAGGTTCGGGAGAATTGGCAGAATCTTAATAAGATTCGTGACATCCCTCCCGTCCCCTAAGAAAAAATGAAATGAACAGAAGGTTATTTCATTTTTTTTTTTTGTTCGGCTGCATGAGTATAACAGGTCAT